GAAGATGGGGAGAAAGATCAACTGGAAAAAGGCCATCAGGGTTCGTGATTCTCTCTCGACTCCGGGCAGGGCGAGGGAAATCATCCTGCGGGCACACAGTAATAATCTTCAAGTGGGGGAAAGGCTGCCTTTCTTGGGGGCGAGAGCAATGTGCAAGCACTGTGGGGGCACGGAATCACAAGATCATTGCTTATACAGCTGCCCGACAATTCAGCCAGTGCTCGGGATGATGAAGGCAGCGGTACAGTGGATGAACCAAGACAGGGATGTGGGGTCCCTTGGCGACTTGCTCTTTCAGGAGAGCAGCACGTCGACGGGATTTCCGGAAGCAGTGATAATTTCGACCACTGCGCACCAAGTATGGTTGGAACGATGCAACGCGGTTTTCCGGGGCAGCCGCTTCCAGCCAAAAAGGGCCCTGCGGAGGATTGCCGTCAGTTTTATCAGGCATGTGAAGATCTACAGTCGGGCTCGGAAACGGGCGGCTTTCAAAAAAGGGGGGAAGCAGGCAGGGGAATGGAGCCATCTGGATGCTGACGAGGCGAGTGTCATGCGTAGGTTATTCGAATTAGAAGCCTCAATGACATGGAGGGCGGGGTTCAAAGCTGTATGGGAAGATAGAGGAATTGCCTTCCAACCACCATAGAGAGGATAGGGGGGGTGGTGTTACCTTTACTCCCTCTCAGCTTCATTTACGACTGCGGATGTATGTATGCGTGGAGTATACTTATTTCCACCAAAAAAAAAAAAAAAACAAACAAACCGCCCCTCTAACCGGCTCCACCCCAACCGCCACAACTGCCGCCGTCACCACTCCCACTGCCGCCACCACTGCCGCCGCCACCACTCTCACTGCCGCCACCAACTCCTCCACTGCCACCACCACTCCGCCACCACCGCCACCTCCACCGCCTCCACCGCCCCCACCACCGCCTCCACCGCTGCCACCCCCACCACCCCTGCCTCCCTTGCCCCTGCCGGTGCGGCGCCTCCTACTAGGAGCAGACGCAGCTCCGACCTCCTCAGTATGAAGGAAGTCAACAGCAGCAGCAGAAGCGACTGAGGGGACAAGGGGGGAGGGGGAACACCCCTCAAATAAGGGAGTGCGAGGAGTGCCACGAGAAGCACCTACAGCGACTATGCTGGTCTCAGCTGCAAGGAGGTGCTTCTCGAGCAGGTCGACAGTGAGGTCTGTGGGGTCAAGGGCGAGAAGGAGGTCCCTGACTGCACTAAGAGAGTCAGGGAGGCGGGTGACGATGAAGTAGAGAGCGATGTACATGGGAGGGGGGTTCTTGGCTAGAAACTCGGCGGGAAGCGCGGCGCGGTAGCGAGTGTCACTAGTGCGAAGGTGAGTTATGAGGTCGGCAACTGTGGCAAAGGCGGACAGCTCGGGAAAGAGGTAGGGCAGGATTAGGCGGCCTAGAGCAGCAGTGGCCGGGGAGGAGTAACGAGCGACTACAGCGTCGTACAGGGCTCTAGCAGTCTTGTGCTGGCCAAAGTGAGTGCGTTCGGCTAACGGCGGGTGGTTGCGAACGGCTAGGCGGGCAGCAGCGTCACGGGTAAGCCACTGTGAGCGAGTCGCACTGTCAGCTGTGTCGGGAGGGGCGAGAGAAGCGCCAGACATGAGGTCAAACAACGAAACGCCGTCTCTAGAATCGCTCAGTAGGTACAGCTGTAGGTCATCGAGCCACGCATCGAACTGGATCGGACGGCCCTCATGATCGAATGTAAGGACGCTGAGAGTAGCCATCGCGGGCAGAGTAAGGTGGCGCGCGAGCAGAAGGGCAGCACGCAAGCTCTAGGGGCGCGCGCAGGGCAGGGCAGGGCAGCGCACGGCTAGGGCAGGGCGGCGCAACTGGCAGGGCAGGGCGGCGGCCAGCAGGGCGGCGCGCAGCCAGGGCAGGGCAGGGCGGCGGCCAGCAGGGCGGCGCGCAGGCAGGGCAGGGCAGGGCGGCGGCCAGCAGGGCAGCACGCGGGCAGGGCAGGGCGGCGCGGCGGCGAGCAGCGCGCGGGCAGGGCAGGGCGGCGCGGCGGCGCGCGGCGCGCGGGCAGGGCAGGGCGGCGCGGCGGCAAGCAGCACGCGGGCAGGGCAGGGCGGCGCGGCGGCGAGCGGCGCGCGGGCAGGGCAGGGCGACGAAGCGGCGAGCGGCGCGCGGTCAGGGCTGGGCAGGGCGTGCGCGGGCGGCGCGACGCAGGGCAGGGCGTGCGCGGGCGGCGCGACGCAGGGCAGCGTGTGCGCGGGCGGCGCGACGCAGGACAGGGCGTGCGCGGGGCGGCGCGACGCAGGGCAGGGCGCGCGCGGGCGACGCGACGCGGGGCAGGGCGCGCGCGGGCGGCGCGACGCAGGGCAGGGCAGGGCAGCGCGGCGCTAGCAGGGCGGCGCGACGGGCACGGCAGAGCAGCGTGCGGCCTGCAGGGCGGCGCGCGGGCAGGGCAGGGCAGCGCGAGGCCAGCAGGGTGGCGCGACGGGTGGGGTAGCGCGATACGGGCAACGAGCTATACGGTGAGCCCTAAAAAATATCGGTCCTAGGAGAGGACCTGCTCTGAAACCATGTCAGAATACTAAGCGAGAATGAATGAACTAGAAACAAGGTGGGTACAAGTACTAACCCTAATTGGGTTGTACCCCATATGGGCTACCCCACTATAGCCTACACAACACACAACAAAACAATTTGACAGAAATCAGTTGCCATGTCACCAGCCGGGCAATAAGTGAGTTTGAATTTGCCTTCGTCGATCTCGTCCTTGTCGAAGAAGTAACGGAGTGCGATGCGCTTCGTGCGGTTCACGAAGCCGGGCTTGTTCGCAATTTTGATCGCGCTCTGATTGTCGCAGAGTAACGTGAAGTGCCCGTTCACCGTCACTTTCGCTTCCTGCAGGAGCTCCATCAGGTACAACCCTTCGCGATCAGTTGCGCTGGCGGCGATGAACTCAGCTTCGGCTGACGAAAGGGCGATGGGATCCTGCTTTCGAGAGTTCCAAGAGATGAGTCCAGCAGGTTGGAGTTGAAAAATGAAGCCTGTGCGGGAGCGTCTGTTGTCAACATCTCCCGCATGGTCCACGTCTACTTAGCCGTGAAGCTGAAGGGTAGCTGTTAAGTTAGCGACGTAGGTGAGTCTGACGTCGGGAGTAGAGATGAAGTATTCGAATACTCGAAGTAGGTCTAGCAGATTCTCCCCTTCAGGTCGGTGCAGGTACTGTGCGAGCTGGCTTGCGACGTAGGAGAGATCCGGCCGGCACGTGACGGCGGCGAACAGGAGGAGACACCCCAGCTGCTGCTGATAGAGCCGATGATCTTTGATGGAGAGTGGTGTGGTGTCGGGTTTGTGATTAGGAGGAGGAGTGCGAAAGGGGGTGGTGAGGTTGATCGGGGCGATTGCGAATTTCGTGATGTGGATGGAGGTGGCGGACTGGGTGATCTTGAGACCCTGGAATTGCGTGACGTTGTGGTTGATCGTCACTACGAGCTTCTCCTTTATTTCTGCTTCGAAGCGATCTAGCAGGTCCGTATCATCGCCGGTGTAGAGCATGTCGTCGACGTAGGCGACGAGGAGGATGAACTTTTCGCGTGATTCCTTCCGGTACATGCCTTGGCCGTGTAGTAGCTGGACGAAGCCGAGTTCGATGAGGACGGTGTGCAGGTACCGCTGCCATAGGCGAGGCGCTTGCTTGATGCCGTAGAGTGATTTCTGGAGGAGGCAGACGGCGCCGTCGCTTTCTTCGAAGGCGTGTGGTTGCTCGACGAAGATAATGGCGTCGCCGAGTGCGTACAGGAACGCACTTCCGCCGTCGATCTGTCGGAGCGGACGCTGCTTGACGGCTGCGATGCAGATGAGGATGCGGACCGAGGTGTGTCGTCTGACGGGCGCGAAAGTCTGGTCGTAATCCACCATGTGAGTTTGCTCGAAGCCGCGCACCACCCATCTCGCCTTTTATTTATCAATGCTGCTACTTCTGCTGCCATGGCTGCCTTCCATTCTTCGCTGTCGGGCCCAGACAGGGCCTGGCGTACGGTAGTGGGTTCCTTTTGTGAGGTGTGGCGAACTGCGACTGCGAGCCCAAGGATGCGGAGGCCAGTTTCGTTGGTCTCTTCGTAGGTGTCACAAGATCGAATTTCCACTCGAGAATGTTGCACTAAAGGTGAGTACAAGGCGTTTTTATAGTCAGAAATACATAGAAACAACAGATAGTCCGAACCTTCGGGAACGCGCTCTTCTAGAATATGTAATCACTAGTGCACATAAGCACTCAAGCCCATTGGCACTTCGGATTATGGCAAGATTACGCCTTGTACACCAACGTCGGTGCTGTCGCTGCTGTATAATGTAAATGTCGGTGCCGAAAATACAGAATAAGTGAAATAATCGGAAAGCTCTAGAAAATAGAATAGTTGCCCGATTGAGGTGAAATAAAGTGCAAATGAAAGAGGAAAATAAGGAGAATAAGATAGAGTAAAAATATGGAAATGAGAAATATGTCGAACGTCGACGTACTCTTACACTTCCCCCCCTCAAAGCTGGGTGGTAGATGTAACACCCTGCTTGACAAGGTAGTCTCGGAGAGAACGTCGGGCGTTAGACATGTCTTCTTCAGAGACCCAGCTGTCCTCGGAAGGATCATAACCCTTCCAGCGTATGAGAAACTCCAGGGCGCCATGCCGACGTCGACGATGTGCAAGCACAGACTCGACCTCGTACTCGGGTTCATCGTTCACGAGGACTGGAGGCGGCAGTGGAGGTTGGCGTCCCGTGTACAACTTATTTGGATCCCGATAAGGTTTAAGAAGCTGCACGTGGAAGGCGTTATGAATCTTCCAAGTAGCTGGTAGGCGCAAGCGGAATGTGACTGGAGTGACCTGCTCTTCTAAGAGGAAAGGTCCGCAAAAGCGAGGTCGCAACTTGGATGGAAGATGACCGAGGTTGAGGTTGCATGTGTCGAGAAGAGGAATGAGAAGGGAGCTTGAAAAGGGAGAGAAGAAAGGGCATTAACAACAGTGACTATGGGATGTTGAACGAGAGGAAAGGGTCTAAGACAGAGACGGCAGTGAAGAGGGACGGTGTGTTAGGAGTGTGGGGTTCGAATGAACCGGAACGAGTAAGAATGCATGGGGGAGGGATGATAGGGCAGTGATGGGGGTGTGTAGGGTTGGAGGGCAGGGAAGAGAGAGTATTGGATGGTTATAAGGATAGCAGGAAAGAACCCCAATGTGGAATTACCTTTTGATAGCCTCGTCAAGCTCGCGAAGGGTGTTATCCGTATGGTACCATCTCCTACAGGCCAGCATATAGCAGTCAACAAATGCAGCCACAGCGTCCACTATTTTTTGTTCTACCAGCCCTGCAAGGACAATCGTGCACACTTGCATGATGGCACGGTGTTCAAAGGCCTGAAACTTTGCAGCTCCTGCAAAGTAACCACCCTTCTCTCGACCCGGCAACCGAAAACCACTGATTCGAGTATCACGTGCTATTGTTTGCAGGACCACATCTAGCTCTCTGAGCACGTGTGTTTCCTTCCTCTTTTTTAGCATGGCCCGGATGCAAGAGATGATATGCATGAAGATGCCAAGATCTAGAGCATGCATGATCTCAATCAGTAGTGCCCTGTACGGGTTGCCGACATCCGTTCCGCCCAAGGCCAGCCCCCAAATTGCTGCCTGTGACAAACAAATGGTAGGGAAAGGGATAGGTTGGAAAAGGAATATGATGAGAGGGGAGTTGGCATGGAAACTGAAAGGGGTGGGGGTTGAGTAGGGCGTGGGTGACAGGGAAGAGATGCTGAGGGACGAGAGCATAGATTTTATACCTTCTCCACCCCATCCCCGTCCGACCTTCTTCATCCCTCTCATCCCTCCTCACTCCCATCTCTGTCCTCCCTTGCTCATCCCTCTCATCCCTCTCATCCCTCCTCACTCCCATCTCTGTCCTCCCTTGCTCCTCCCTCTCATCCCTCCTCACTCCCATCTCTGTCCTCCCTTGCTCATCCCTCTCATCCCTCCTCACTCCCATCTCTGTCCTCCCTTGCTCATCCCTCTCATCCCTCCTCACTCCCATCTCTGTCCTCCCTTGCTCCTCCCTCTCATCCCTCCTCACTCCCATCTCTGTCCTCCCTTGCTCATCCCTCTCATCCCTCCTCACTCCCATCTCTGTCCTCCCTTGCTCATCCCTCTCATCCCTCCTCACTCCCATCTCTGTCCTCCCTTGCTCATCCCTCTCATCCCTCCTCACTCCCATCTCTGTCCTCCCTTGCTCCTCCCTCTCATCCCTCCTCACTCCCATCTCTGTCCTCCCTTGCTCCTCCCTCTCATCCCTCCTTACTCCCATCCCTGTCCTCCCTTGCTCCTCTCTCTCATCCCTCCTCACTCCCATCTCTGTCCTCCCTTGCTCCTCCCTCTCATCCCTCCTCACTCCCATCCCTGTCCTCCATTGCTCCTCTCTCTCATCCCTCCTCACTCCCATCTCTGTCCTCCCTTGCTCCTCTCTCTCATCCCTCCTCACTCCCATCTCTGTCCTCCCTGTTTGAAAAGGAGGGCACATGGTAAGGAATGGAAGGCTTGAGTGATTCTGGAAGGGACAGGTACGAGCAGGGGAATCAAATAGAAGGTGATAGAATCACCATAGGCTCACCTTGACTGGGTGGATGCTCATGGCCCTTGCAGCATCATTCCGGGCGTTAAGTGTCGGTATTGCAAGTATCTCCTGGACCTTAGCCGCCTGATCCGCCTCCGTCCGGTACTGTGATGAAATCTCCATGTTGCTTATATCCTCTCGTCGGACAAGGCACCTGTGACATGGATATTGCGCTTGGTGGCTTGCAAAGGTGCCTGCCACCTTACATGCCTCTGGTTGGTCTGCTACATAGGCATACAAGGCTAGGTAGACGAGCTGACGTTCACCGAATGGGTCACGAATGATGATCCCACTGTTTGTGGAGTACCAAAGAGAGAGAGGGGTGGGGCAGGGAAAAAGAGTACGAATTTAGCATGCGAGAGAGAGGGGAAGGCATGTGTATCAGAGAACGAGTTTAGACGGAAGGGTTGGGTGACCGTTCAGATTATATGGAAGGTGTGTGTTCGAGTGTAGGTGAGCCATATTGTAGACTCTACCGAGGAAATATTCTGGCCCCCAAGGCCAGCCCCCATGTGGACTGAAATGTGTATGATGATTCTACCGTAATGGACTAATGAGGTAAGAAGGGGTAAGAGAGAGAGAGAGAGAGAGAGAGAGAGAGAGAGAGAGAGAGAGAGAGGGGTAAGAAGAAGAAGGGGTTTATATGGGAGTGATGTTCTTGTGGGGAGTATAATGTGTGTGATAAGCATATGAGAATGTTGGGCTTGTCATGAATGTGTGTGTGATGGTCAAACGAAAGCATACGTACAGTGTGGGGGAGGACATGAGACAGAGAGCGTTGTTGTTCGTTCTAAACCAAGAGCTTGGAGTGTGTATGCAGGTGAGGAATTTAAAACAGATCAACACGCACTATATGGAATCTGATTTTGAGACGGGATGAAAATCTATTGTTTTCGGAAGAGTAGGTGGCATAATTATCAAATATACAGATTACATACTCTTTAGACGCCTCTCTGAAGTCTTCCATGATGCGATCCAAGGCTTTCTGAAACACCACGCGGCGCGTCTCCTTCCCCGCCTCGGTTTTTGCATCCACGCCAGTCAAAGGTGGCAGCAAGGCAATCATGATATGGCCATGCGGCTGCCATCTGTTCTTGACTGTAATGTTACCTAGCGTCATGTACACAGGATGGCCAACTACTCGTCCGTCAGTACTGAGGTTAGTCGCATCGCTGTATAGTATAACGGTCGCCAGTATAGCACCCATAGGCAGTAACGCTTGTGTTTCAATCCACATATTCCCGGTCTCCGGTCCCGCGTAAATACGTTGCTTTCCGTCCGCTGTGTAAATTGGTTTCGCCCGCAGGACAAACCCCTCATGGTTCTTACGCTCCCCAAATAGCGACTCTACTGCCTTGGAGATGGATGTTAGATAGAGTATAGCGACGTGGTTACTGTTGTGACTAACATCTACTGACTCCCACTGCTCTATTCCTGTCATTTGCACAAGCAACGCCTTGGCATACTTATCCATGCCTGCTCTGATTGTACAGCTCGGCCTCTCCCCTGTGGGTCTGCAAAACAACGCTAAAATGTTGTTGGTGTCCGTAGCAGACAAACCCATGCCTCCGTTGCAACTGTGAATGACCTTCAAAAACGCTGTATCAATGTTAAACGCCTGAACTGCTGCTGGTATCTCTGATGGAAATTCATAACGTGGCAGCTCTGGGATCTCATCTGCTTGCTCAGGCTGAGTGTTCTCAGGTGCTGCATTTGTCCTCACCCTGTCTGCTGGCTGTGCTGTTGCTGAGCCTGAGTTCTGCTCGGTCTGATCCGCCTGTCTATGTCTTATATGCTGGACCAACCCTCCCGCTCACGTGGTCGTTTTTGGCAAGCCTTTCTGTGGTTCTCATATGCTCTCCCACTTGTAAACGACCTATTACAGCACACGAACAGCATGATGCCTTCATAGATCTACGTCCGCCGCCATGGAAACAAGCAGGACAGGAGAGGTGAGAACCCTTAATGCAAACCTTTCAGGCCTCCTATGTGATCTCTAGATTCGGAGGCTAAAGTCACCGTAACGCCACCATCTCTCTCACCTGTCGTTGCAGGCAAAAATGCAGCCCAATGCAGCGCGGGTTCAATCTGAGATTTGAGATAGACTTGAAAACTAGATTTTGCCAGGAGATTTAGTTGAATTTTAGATACGTAAGAAGCCCTACACGATCACTCAGCACAGAATAGGTGTCCCACGAAACGGTCTGCACGAATAGCGCCCAAAAGTATGTGCAGTTGCTTTTCTAACTTCAGCGTATATAATTTAAGTAGTTCTTGGGTGGAGTAAGCAGATCTTCAATCACAATCTTTACTAGAGTAAGGGCCGTTGGAGGATGTGGTGTTGGAAGAAGTTGAGCAAGCAGGAGGTGTATGACCCGTCAGATTGGGTGTTGTCCAGGTCGCATAGGTTGGGAATGCGACTGTGGACGAATCATGTTCGCGCTCTGCACCGACGATGGTGTCGCGGGAAATGTCGTCCTGTACATGCGACCTGCTAGGCGAAAGTCGCAGGTCGCGACACCAGGCAAGGCGAAAGTCGCAGGTCGCGACACCAGGCAAGGCGAAAGTCGCAGGAAGAGCGAAAATAGCAGGACGCGACACCTGGCAGGACGAAAATTGTCATACACTGGAACTGAAGTTTGGTCGCGCGATTACACGAGCCAATCGTAGCCCTTCCCGAACCCAGGTTTGTCGCCAACGAATGTTGACCAGCAAGGAACCAAGATTCCGTCTTAAGGGTGTGCCAGGTTGGAATGTGGCAACCATAAATATAACTAATTTTTGATCCTAAACATGTTAATTCCAATTAGTTGATTTTTTAGCACTATGATAACAAAACCATACATAAATTTGCTACCTTTTTTTATTGGAAAAGTTCTTTTATAAACTGTGAGTGCGTACGGGAAAACTTGTATTGAACGCACTGATTTATACTTATTATTACATTTATATTATACTGAAACAACAACTCTCAAAACTGAGCAATGAATAATTGTACCATGTATCGAAAATTATCACTATACGCGGGATTTATGAGTTCGCCGTTGTGGCTCCAGCTGCCCGAGTCTGAAATTGTTGTTGACTATAGGCAGGCAGATTTCGCCTGCTGCCCGCGCACAATTTCGTAGCCAATACTACCCGCGGGAAGCAAGCGCGCAATTTTCCAGATTTGAACTCACGCAACATTCCGGAAAACATCATCGGCGAAAACACCACTCGCAACCTGCCAGGCAACAAAGTTAAATGTGCGATGTAGACTAAACAATACAAACTATAACAATTATAGTTTGACAAGTTCACCATGACGACCTACAAGGCGACCTATATCCTCTACATTGGCCAACTGGAGCAGCGGCTGGCCAACATTCGGATAGGCGAGCAGGTGCCAACGATGGAATTCTGCAACCGAGCTCGGCGATCTTGGCTGACCTGCGGATGGACGGCGTCAACTACCTGGTGGGATCCTATGTCACGCGCGTTATCAAGGGCCTCTCCATGGGCTACAACCTTATGCGTGCGAGCACAGCTCAACGAGGACTCGTTGGTGAGTCACGTTATCCAGAACGAGTTTATGCAGGAGTCTGAGCAGCCCACGGAGCTCCATTCGCAAGCCAACTACGTCGCCCCAACAAAGCAGGGTCGTCAATAGAGGCAGCGTGGGAGTCGGGCACAGGCGGCGGTGAAGGCGGAAAGTCGGCGAGCAACAAGTCGGCGAAAGATGCCGACCACACAAAGTCGATTCGGGACAATGACCTCGGTGGCGGAGGGAGGCGCCAACGTGGGCCCCAATTCTACATCTGTGGTGACCCCGACCACGTATCGTACGACTGTCCCAACAGAGAGAATTCCGACGACGACCAGAAAGCTGGTCGCGGGAAGATCGACGACAGTCATCATCGTTGTGGTGATCAGCCGCGCAAGGAGAAGCAGACGTCGAAGACGTTGCTGGCGAAGGACGCTGACGGTTCAAGCGGAAAAGCAATTGGCGACGGAGCGCCCTCATGCTCGATAGTCAGCGTGGTGGAGCCGACAATTCCGCTGGCGCTGGAGGCCGGCGAAGAAATCCAGGCGGTTGCCACCGCCGTGCAGGCAAACCCGACCGTGGTGCTCCTCGACAGCGGTTGCTCCCATTAATTGATAAGGTCAAGGGAGGCCTTCGTCAACATGGAGCCAGGAGGTGACGTCAGCCATGTGCGCGGATTCAACGAGACGATTCTAGTTGTCCAAGGCCGCGGCACCGTCGCCCTGCAAGGGGAGGCCGAGAAGCAGATCCGCGCCTCCGACATGTTGTACGTACCGGGAATGCAGGCAAATATGTAAGGACAGCGGCGTGAAACTATTGGACGACATCGACAAGATGTTGCTAGTGTCAGCTATAGGAGATGTGCTTGGCCGTGCGCGTTACATCGGCTGGGTCCTTTGCACCGACCTCCGCCCCTGCCCAACAAAGTCGACGCCGACTTGAGCAGAGACGGTTGCACCGCGGACGATCGCCTCAGCGACGAAGTCGACGTTGGAGATGTGGCACGATTGACTAGCGCACACTCAAGAGTTCGGTGGCGCTTAGGTTCGCTGTCAGCTTGGACATGTAGTCGTTGTCTGAAGCCGACTTGCCATGCGTCTGTTGCATCGGCGGCAAGTTGGAGCGGCACACTTTTCGACAAGGGCTCAGACGCCGAGAATGCCCTCGACATCGTGCACATCGACCTGTGCTACCCCTTCCGCGTGGTCACCAAGGGCGTCAGCTTGTATTTCATCCTACTGAAAGACCGCAAGACTCGCTTCGTATGGTTCCAGCCGATCGCGAAGAAGAGCGACGCGCCGGTCATCTTCGAGAAGTGTCTGAAGGTGGCGGAGTTGTAGACTTCGGAGAAGGAGAAGAGGTTCAGTGTCTTCTACTTCTTCCA